GGAAAGGCCACTAACAAGTGCAAGGGATGACTTCCAAACTCCTGAAAACTGGATAACTCATCTTCACACTGGTCCCTTCCCTAAATATTTCATTCTGCATTTTGCTGTGAGTATGTATGCAATGGGTTCATTAAAACCCACTCCAGTGAGTCATTAGAGACAGTTCATAAAATGCAAATCCAGCAAGCCAATGGAGCTGTGAAGAAGAAATAACATTGCCGTAAGTGCACTTACATTAGGGGGTTGGAGCCAAGGTTGCCCCTTCACCAATGACAGTAGTTCTTCTATCTGTCAAAGACTGTGCAGCAGAAAGACACATTTGGACCCAGTCTTCTCATTTGGGTCCAACCTGTTATTGTATTTATTTAGTATAAGAGACATAGTGGGTTGATAAACATTAACCTAAAAATCAGCCATAAGAACAGAAGCAGCTAAACATAAACCACCAATTAAAGCAGGGGTCCTCAACATTCTTGAGCCTGGAGGCACATCTGGAAATCTAAGAAACTGCTTTGGGCACTACCCAAATACCAATTCCACAGGTGAAAATGGGGTAATGCTCCGACATCCCCCAAAGCAACAGGCAAAACAACTACACACCCCAAGGAAATAAAACACAGACAAAAAAAGGAGACCACACTTCCCCACAAAAGAACAGGCAATGCTTCCACACACCCACACCCCAAATATATATTTTTTCCTTATTTTTATAAAGAAAGACACTGGGTGGGGCAGGGAGTCTTGGCAGGCATGAAGAGATGCCCACGAGCATCGCATTAGGGATCCCAGCATCCAGACCTCCCTGAAATATGTCTGGTGAGCCAGTTTTTCGAAGGGGTACCTGTTTGGGGCATCTGCAGGCTTTTCAGGTAAATGGGTTCAACAAAATACAGGATGAACAGAGAAAGCTCATTCTACCACATCTGTCACAAAGAGTTTTAAGGGAGCAGATGGAGAGAAGAAAGCAGAAGAAAGCAGACAGTCTAGGCATAGACAGAAAGCCACAGATCCTGCCTTTTTCCTCCACATAAGGGAAGCGCAGAGCAGAAAGAATCCTATCTTTGTAAGAACATCATTCTGCAGACATTGGAAAGGTAAGTATATACGCTAATGTTTGCACCTCTGGGAATATTGCTTTACGGGGACTTAAATTTAAAAGGCCCTACAGAATTTATTTTGAAAGATGCAGCCAGATGGTGCTCCTTCCGCCGACACGCCTCCTGGGCATTAACCCTATCCCTCAATACCTACCAAGTAGTAAGGAAAACTACAGACTATGCAATATCCTTTGGATACTACCTGCACACCAAGAAGACATTTTGCCTGTTCATTGAGTTTTTGGAGTGGTATTAAATCTATTGTACTTTTTGCACATATATTTTCAGTAATGTTGTGAGCCGCCTTGAACCACCGTGGAAAGGTGGTATAAAAATGCTTTAAATAGACACATTTAAATGCATGCGTCTCTAATAGTTGTCAAACGTGTAGACGTTAAGCTCTTTCAGGAATGTTGCAGGTCTCTGGTTGCCAGTGTCTTTTTCATTAACCTAGAGGACAAAAGTGCCCAGGGACAAAAGGATAAAAATAAAAGGGTGAATATGAAGGGGGGCTGAGGGGCTGCTGTTTCCAAATGGGAATGGGAGAAGGATGCATGTTGTTTGGCAGACACTTTCCACTGGTGGTTGGGTCCCCCTCCTCTCCCACTTATCAATGGGACCTTTCAAGACTCCTTCTCCCCTGATTGGAGACATCATTTCCTGTCCAACACACTAACCCCATTGATAACTTTAGCTTGATGGGAACTTTTCAAACCTAACAGGAAAGTCCAGGAGACTTACAAGAATACAGACAAGTTTTTTGTTTTTGTTTAAACGGAAAGAAAGTGCTTGGAACTAAGCACTGAACTGCAGAGGCAAATTATTTTCTAAATGTTGCTGTTATCAGTTTAGAAATACTACCAACAAGATGTAGAGGAATCCAATGGCTTCGGGTCAGGGGTGAGGAACTTCAGGCCTGAGGGGGCAAATGTGGCCCACCAGCCCTCTGTATCTCATCCTCAGGACTCTCTTCAGGCCACACCCCTCCCCAGTTACAGCCCCTCTCCCATCCCTGGCTCTGCTTTGCACCATCTTTGGGGGGTTTTGCCTGACTGGAACATGTCTTTGACTTCTGCTAATTTTTCTTTGCTGCCTGGATGGAGTATAGAAAGAGGTGTATGAGTATGTGTAGAAACTAGTCTACCGTATACAGATAAAAATTTACATCCATTGCTCTAGTCCCTCTTGCCTCTGGCCCCAGCTACCACTGACATGTGGCCCCTGGAAAGTTGCCCAGATGAGAATGCAGCACTTGGACTGAGAAGGATTCCCAATCGTGGCCTTGATTTTTCTTCTCCATATTCAACTGACCACTTCAGCCAATGAGTGCCAACAGGAAGAAATGCAGAGATGGACTTGCCCTCTCAGCCTTTCTATAATTCACAGAAGGTATACAAGATATAATTCTGGGGTCATAAAACTGGCCAGGGGAAAGGCAGCACACATTTATGGGAGAAGATGCTGGATGGAGCTGTTCCTGCTCAGACGGTTGTGGGAGTTCCTTGGTTCCCAACATTGGACAGCTGCTTTCAAATGGACATCCCTAGATGGGCTCTGAAAGAACAGAGCCTTCTCGGTTTTCAAAATCTGAGCCCATATTAATTCACTCCTTGCAAGCACAGTATGATGAACACTGTCTATCTTGATATGCCTTTGATGCGCTCATCTAACTATAGAAACACTTGCAAACTACAGCAGTCTGAATTCTGAACAGGCACATCCCTTTACCACAGGCTTTTGACAGAGATCAAAGCTTCCTCCAAACTGTAATCTTACCAACTGTATACTACCAGTACTACATCACTTCTTTCTCATGAGTCACATCTTAGTTATTTCCTGTTTCCACATAAAGAAATAGCCACAGTGACCTGATTAGGACATATCGCTACAGATTTCACCAGTGGCAATTGTTCCCTTTCACATGAATGCTGTGGCGGATATGAAGGCAAGCCTGTATCTATTGAGAGGGTCTTCCAAGGCTGGTTGTTCTCCCAGCTATATGAAATGGGACCACTGAATATTTCTGCTTCATGGCAGGAAATTGTTTCCTGATATACCGGTAACTACAATTTAAGGAATGGGTTGTATAAATACTGTATAGAAACAAGAACAACAACACTGAGCAAACAGAAGCATTACTCCAATCACCTTTGAAAAATTAGAATACAAGGAATTGGGGACTCATGTTGCGGCTGCTCAGTTCTCCAGAGTTGCCTTTCAGTTTCTGGCTAGCGCAGTCAGGACAGGGGTGGGGACTCTCAGGGCTGGATGTGGCTCTCTAGGCATCTCTGTTTGGCCCTCAGAACTCTCCGTAGGCTACGCCCCTCATTCACCCTGGTTTGCACCCAAGCATTTTGACTGGCTGAATATACCATTGAAATCTGATTGTGCTTCTTGCTTATCTAAATGAAGGTAGAGAGGTGTGTGTGAATGTACGCAGAAAGTAGCCTACTGTACAGAGGTAAAAATCTGCATTCACTGCTCCCCCTGCTTTTGCCTTTGGCCCTGCCCACCACTGGCACATGACCCTTGAAGGGAATGATGACCCTCGGGATGAAAAGGTTCTGGTTTAGGAGATATAAAGTGAATAAGCTGATGGCTTGAAGCTGATGAACGCCAAGGATCTTGAGTGTGTTGGAGATGACTAAGAAATTACTTCAGTGCACATTGTTCAAGGAAGAGAAACTGTGGGGAAGTTAATGAGAAGAGGCAGAACATTACAATGATAAAATGTCAGCGGAATCACAACTAGGAAGGCAAAGTCTAAGAGAAACAACTTATAGAAATTGGCTGAAGGCACACTCTGGACACCTTGTCCAAAAGTACAGGAAGAAACTAAATACAGGCAGCTCCTGCTATCCACTCACTCGTTATCTGCAAATTCATTTATCTGAACACAAATAAAAGGTAAAGGTACCCCTGCCCATACGGGCCAGTCTTGACAGACTCTAGGGTTGTGCACTCATCTCACTCTAGAGGCCGGGGGCCAGCGCTGTCCGGAGACACTTCCGGGTCACGTGGCCAGCGTGACGAAGCTGCTCTGGCGAACCGGCACCAGTGCAGCACACGGAAACGCGGTTTAGCTTCCCGCTATAAAGCGGTACCTATTTATCTACTTGCACTTAAGGGTGCTTTCGAACTGCTAGGTGGGCAGGAGCTGGGACCCAATGACGGGAGCTCACCCCGCCACGGGGATTCGAACCGTCGACCATGCGATCCACAAGTCCTAGGCGCTGAGGTTTTACCCACAGCGCCACTATGCCCAAACCTCACTAGACGCACAACTGATTCCGATATCTGAACAGCCAAAGTTTGCCCACTTCCTTACTTGTTGTACATTGCTGGTCAACAGCACCTATTTTCAGGCAGAAACCATGAAGAGTTGGAAGGGGGAGAGTAACTAGACAAATCAGAGAGCGGAAGAGATTGGGCAAATCAGTATTTCCTTTGTCTCTCTTTTGCTGGTTGGCTGCAGCCATTTTAGGAGGAACTCAAGGCAGGAGGCAGGGGAGTAAGGATTAGATATGTTTTCATAGGAAATAATGGTGATCGTCAGCTCATTATGCAAACATTCACCTGACAAATGATTTTTTTGGGGATGCATTGCATTTGGAAAGGGGGGGGCCTACGTGTACCGCCCACCAGGGAAGACCAACGGAGCAGCACAATAAACCAATATCTTCCTCAATGAACACCAGAACAACTTACCTATTCCTAAGCCCAGAACCACTTCATCTTCTAAATACTTTTGACTGTGATTTCTCTCATAATGTAAAATCTGCCACACCCTCAGAAGGCAATAAACGTATAAGGCATGTTTTATTGGGTGGCACCATTAGACAACGTAGGAAATCAACATCATGCATACCACCTCTATAGCCATGAGTAAAATTATTCCATTACCTGTAGGTCAAAGAACTTGCTGTATCTGCGGTAGATTGTCTGGCAACTTGAGTCTGACCATGTTACATTTATGATATATACCTGCAGGGGAGAAAGGAAACAATCTGTCATTCAAATCATCATTCTAGTATGCAAAGCTGTGGCTTTGAAGGCAATGTGATTCAGAGGCTAAATCAGATGATGATTGTGTTTGTATACGCAAGGATTGTTTCAAGCTCTGAAATTCTTCATAAGACAAATTTCATAATTTTCCTGGTAATTACTTGCTCACTTATAAATGACTTGCTTATTAAAGAGAAACAGAGTTCCTAAGTAATCAGGCAGAGCCACTCACTTGCTAGATGGGAAAAGAATGGAGGAACATACCAGTGCCGTGAAAAGACTCCTGAAAACATAATGGTGATGATGATAATTATTATTTATATGCCACCCATCTGACTGCGTTTACCCAGCAACTCTGGCTTCCAACCAACTGGAACACAGTAATACATCAAACATTAAAAACTCCTATACAGTGCTGCCTTCAGATGTCTTCTAAAAGTCAGATAGTTATTTATCTCCTTGACATCGGATGGGATAGTGTTTCACAGAGTGAGCGCCACTACCAAGAAGGCCCACTGCCTTCTAAACCCAACACAAAAACCACCAGTCATGTGACTGCTCCACGTGCAATTTCTGAAATATAACTTTGATAACATGGGATCTCCAGGGCAACACACACCAGAAATGTGTGATCTAATCATAGGTGCCATCTCCTCGGAGCCCTGGGTACCCGAGCACCCACAAAATTTTGGAGCAGGTGCACAGGCACTACGCTCTGTGGAAAGAGTGCGGAGTTCGGGGAGAGGGGGAGAGATGGCGGAGTTCAGGCGGGGGTGGAAGAGAGTGTGGAGTTGAGTGGAGAGAGTGCAGAGTTTGGGCAGGAGGGGTCCAGTCACTTCTGTGCCACTGGAGCTTGTGCCCAACCCCACTACAATGTCATGATGCCACAGCGAGTGTCATGACTTCACAGCATGTGTCTCATGATGTCATGGTGTGGCGGAGCATGCTGGGCACCCATAGTGTGGGGCCCAAGGCAGCAGTGTTGGATCTAATGACTGGTAATCAAACAATTAATCGTATCAGACATTACAGCCTCTGTGTGGAAACCTGTCACAAACAAGCAGACATAGCTACCATAACCTTCTGTTCCAGAAAGCAGAGCAAGTCTCTTCTAAGATAGCACCTACATGTTCTGTGTAAAAAATAATTTAAAACAAAAATTTAGAGGGGGGAGGGGAAAACCTGATTGAAATCCTTTCATCAATTAAAAGGAGAGCAAAATCAATCAGTTAATCTAAGATCAACAATCAGTTGACTAAACAATGCAACTCTAGTTGTTGTTGATATTTAATGAGTTTTCTACACACTGTTAAAGGTCAGTTGAGTGCTTCCAGATTAAGGCCAGAGCTACTGAAAACTGACTGACTGCTGTGTCCTCAGAATGACTTGTTGGGCTTTCCCAGAGATAACAAAAGATAAGGATCTGGAAGGAGGAAATCAAAAAGGCTGGAGTGCAGGGGGCAAACTTCATCTCTCAGCTTCAAGTGCTGCTTAGCTGCAGAGAGCCACACTCCTCTGCAGGCTCTGTAAATGTCAGGCTGCTTTTCTGGGATTGTCTTTCTGGATAAATAGGCTGAGGTTCCCTATCCTCCCTGTCCTGCACACCAGTTGGTCTCTCTGAGCTCTGGGGCAAAGCAATTGCTTGCAGGCTTTGAAAGATAAAAGGCAGTACATTCAATATCTGCAGCTTAAGGGAGGGGGAAAACCCCAAGAACACACTTCTTTTCTTTATCTCTTTTCATTGCACTTAAACTGTTAAGGGGGGGGAATGAAGAACTTTCTAATTCAGTATGTGATAACCATCTTCTGGTTTCTATATAAATAAAACCACTTACTATTCCAATAGCATGGGGGAAGGATGACATCTCCCAGCAGAATCATTGTGGCTTTGTCTCCCTTAACCTGCTGTGATTTGGGTAGTCTGTATTTCCCAGCACTGCCTTAACCAATAGTCTGTGTTTCTATAATAAAAACTACAGTTGCTGTTAATAAACATCCCTTCTGGAAGCCTTTTAAGCAGCTTGCCTGGTGAGTAGAAAAATACAGTGAGTGTAGAACTCAGCTGTACATTATGTAATATTTCAAAACAAACAAACACACACACACACACACACACACACACACACACACTTACTATCACCTCTCCTGCCCCAAACGTGCTTGCAAGACCACAAGTACCAGTACTTGAAATCTGCCGTTGGTGCACAGTGTCTCCAGCATTGACCTCCCACTATTTTACTGTATTTTTTTTTAAAAAATAATGCTTTTATTGTTAACTGTTCCAGCCTATTTCATATGAAACAATTCGTAAACAAGCCACTTCATGTAGCTCAGTAGCACAGCAAATGCCAGTGACAGTCAGTATAGACAACGCCAAGCTAGATCGACTAATGATATGACTTGGTATAAGACAGCTTACCATGTCCCAGTGCCTATTTTTCCATGGATTCCTGTAACTGAACCTAGGCTATGAAGTAGCAGAAGCAGGAGCATGAAGTGCAACATGCAAGACATTGCTCTGTTGTCTAGGCAACAGCAAAAGGCCATGGGCCTAGTTATCATTTACCAGACTCACCCAATTAATAGGGTGACCATGTGGCCTCCTTTAGAGAAGACAGTCCAGTCCTAAGAAGCCATAAAAGCAGGAGTCTTGAAGTTTCCCATCAGCAGTTAGAACCAGGAGAGCAGACTAAGCAGGTGTGCATATCACCTGGCCACAGTCTTCCCTACTGTGGTGAGATGAACTGTACAGTGGTACCTTGGGTTAAGAACTTAATTCGTTCCAGAGTTCCGTTCTTAACCTGAAACTGTTCTTAACTTGAAGCACCGCTTTAGCTAATGGGGCCTCCCGCCGCTGCCGCACCGTCAGCACGCAATTTCTGTTCTCATCCTGAAGCAAAGTTCTTAACCCGAGGTACTATTTCTGGGTTAGCGGAGTCTGTAACCTGAAATGTCTGTAACCTGAAGTGTCCGTAACCTGAGGTACCACTGTACTTCTGTTTGAATTATTGTTATTTCTAAATGGGCATCTATACATTAGTATATGCACAGTTTATGCAGATCTACATCTGCTCCCCCCCCCTTTTGGGGGTGATGTGTAAGTAGCCACCCTAACAATCAAGAATACACCATTATTAGAAGCAGAATCCAAGATTAGAAAGCCAATAGCATTGTCAAAACACAAAAACTGCATAGCAGTACCTCAAGCTCTGAAATTGCCTCAGGAATTTTACTGAAGGGTGGGGTAAAAATCCCCTGCATCAGTAAATAAAGCCAAGATGAGAATGAAGTCCTACTGTGTTAAATTGGGCTTAATCCTTAATAAGTATAGGCTTGTAGCTTACCCCCTCACAACCTGCTACTTCAGCGAGCGCTGTAACTGCAAAGGCTGCAGATTCACTGGTTGCATCCAGCTCAGTTCTACTCAGAGGCCATATTCACACCATACCATTTAAAGCACCATGAGACCACTTAAAACAGTCATGGCTTCGCCCAAAGGATTCTGGGGGCTAAAGTCTGTTAAGGGAGTTGCTGAGAGTTGTGAGGCAACCTCTGCTCACTTCACAGAGTTAAAATTGTCCTTGTGGTTTAACAATCAATCCCTCTTCAACACTAATGTCTCACACTGAATGTAACTGATCAATGCTGTGACCCCCCCCCAAAAAGAGAGAAAACAGATACTTTTGTAACCGAACAATATGAAAATTAATTTTTTAAAAAGAAAATCAATCCCTCTTTACACAGAACTCTGAGAACTGCAGGTCTGGGAGGGGAATAGAGGCCTCCTGTCAACTCTCAGAACTGGTGACGGGGGAGGGAAGCCGTGAGGTAAATGTGGCCGAAGCTGAGCCATTGAAATGAATGTACCAAAGTTAGTCATGGCCATTAATGACCATTAATGTATCAAAGTTGGTCATGATCAACTTGATCATTTAAATGGGTCTACTCTGTGTATGGCTAACACAACCCATTGCCTGCAAAATTTACTGCATTTTACCGTACAGAAAAGGTATTGTCTTGGCAAAATGCTTGCAGCTTGTGCACTGCAACTGGGAAACAAATACTCATTGACTTTTTAAAAAAAGGTTGTGCGGAAAGGCCCTTAGAAGGATTCTGAAAGATAGTGTTGAAATACCGTATTAGGAACTAGGATGTCAGTTGCGAAGTATTCGTTTAACAGCGGCTCTGCTAACCCCTGAGTGATGTATCAAACACAGTAAAAGATTTTACTACCACCATATAATGCTGCGTCCCCCTCTTTGCTGTCTACAGAGGGCAACAAGATGAATAAATTATCCTATACGAAATCATAAAGAATCCACTTAAAGGGCCGTTAGGTGGGAGTTCATTATAAAAAGCATTGTTTTCTCTGGAAAGTATCCAGCTTTCTTTGACACAGATCCAGAGGATAACGTGACATCATGTCCTAATGTCAACTTCTGCTCTTTTGAAGAAGATACCTTGTTTTCTGCATTAGAAAGGAAGCACTGCATTAGGAGGGGTTATCTGTTCCCTTGGCAAGAGAACATCAAATCCTCCTTCCTCCATTGGGAGACTCTAAAATAATAGTTAATACATAAACACATATAAGCAATTTGTTGGCTCAACAATTCCATCAGTGGCTAATCCTACTTATAAATAAGCCAAGAACTGTTATATTTCACAAAGGTGTGATTCTTTCGAACAGCATTGAACCTGGGGTCCTCAGTAGATTGTCAGGTAGTATCAGAAATTCATTTCAGCAATACAGTAGTACCTCGGGTTAAGAATTTAATTCGTTCTGGAGGTCTGTTCTTAACCTGAAACTGTTCTTAACCTGAAGCACCACTTTAGCTAATGGGGCCTCCTACTGCCACCGCGCCGCCGGCGTGCAATTTCTGTTCTCATCCTGAAGCAAAGTTCTTAACCAGAGGTAATATTTCTGGGTTAGCGGAGTCTGTAACCTGAAGCTTATGTAACCTGAAGCATATGTAACCCGA